ACCCCAAGCCAGCTCTTAACCAACACGCCACTCAGCCAGCCCAGTGTTTGTTTCTTTATTTTCTTTTTTTGACTGCTTTTAGATTGAGATTTTATCATTATTTAATATTTTTCCTCTACTAGTTTGGAAGTAGTACACTCTACTTATATTATTTTAGTAGTTACTCTAGAAAATTTAGCATGCCTATTTATCTTAACAAAGCTTAAAGTTATTCAATACTGATATGGTCATGAGGGAATAGAATAACTGGGTCTAGAGTTACCTTCCCACCACAGACAACTGGAAAACTTGGCAAAATATATGACTCAACTGTTTTCTGATGGTGGACAACAATCAGTGAAGACCCTGCAGTGTCTGAAAGAAAGGAAACAAATTAGGTGAATTCCAACACCTAGACTTTCTGAGTGAAGTAGAAGCAGCATAAAAATGTAACCCATAATGATGAAAATCAACCAATCAAACAACAGACCCAGGGGAGTTCCTGTTTCTGGCCTGGCGTGTAAGGAGCTTGACAGTCATCACTCCATGCTAACAAGTAAAATGCTGAACAAATGGAAAAATCAACAGCTCTTCTTAGATCTATGGAGAATTTATGTCACGGGGCAAACTGCTGCCTCAAAACTGGAGGGATAGGTGAATACAGAGAATCACAACTTACCAGAGCAGAAATCCACAACTGGGAATAGTGCTGAGGTAGGAAAATCTGAACTTTAATTGACTAATTGCTGGAGGTTTGGTGTGGACAAGTCTGAGAGTTAAAAACTCCAGGGGGCGGGCAGTCTTAGGGAGGCTTTCTCAATTTTGTGAGTTATACCTCCAGGAGCCCTACCGGGTTCTCACGGTGAAGACTGGAGAAAAATCTCTTCATGATTCTGGCAGGGGGAGGGGGAAAGTAGACAGTTTGAAACACACTAGAGTTCCCTTAACAAGGCCCACCCTCAAGGCAAATTATTATGCAAGAGCCTAACATATTGGGGTTTTATCAGAGTTTAACAGACCTGGGGGAAGGGAAATACTCTACTCCTGCCCCTTCTAGCCATCCTGTCCCACCTTAGGAGGGGGAAAACTGAAAAGCACTGTGAAGTTCACAGTGCAGAGGCACAGGCTCACTATAAGACTGAGACTTAATCATAGGTCTACACAATGTTTCCTCTCCCCTCACACCTCACCATCACATTACTAAAGGTCTATTTACCGCAATTCCTTTTACCCAGTTCATCATGTCTTGCTTTTAACAAAAAATTACGAGGCATACTAAAGGCAAAAAACACAGAAGAGACAGAGCAAGCATCAGAACCAGACTCAGATATGGTAGGGATACTGGAATCATCAGGCCAGCAATTTAAAATACTATGATTGATATGCTAAGGGCTCTAATGGGAAAAGTAGACAACATGTAAAATCATGGCCACAATTAGCTGCAAGGGAGAATGTGAAATAAAATTTCTAGCTGGGAAGCCAAATGTGTTATTAAACTTTGGTGATTTTATTTCTAAAAGGAGGAAGGGCAAAATGGATACTGGGGAATACTTAGCATTCTCTTCCACAGTGGGTTTTTTTTGTGTGTGTTTTTTTAATCAGTTTTGGAAAGTTCTCAGCCATTGTCTTTTTTACTATTGCTTATTCCCTATTCTCTAACTTTTTTCTTCTCCAAATCCAACTAAATATTTGTGTGACTTCAATCTGTTTGTCTCTCTGTGCTGCATGCTGGATAATTTCTTTAAATCCATCTTCTGTTCAGCTATGCTTAATATGCTGTTTAACCCATATCTTGAATTTCTAATTTCAATTATTATGTTTTTAATTTCTAGAAGTTTTATGTGGTCACTTTTCAAGAGTACCTGGTCATTTCATAGTCTCTCGTTCTTTTGTTATACTTCCTTTTATTTCTTTAAACATATTCATCATACTTAGTTTATATTTGTGTCATGTAATTTCAAAATCTGCTATTTTTGCAAGACTGATACTTAAATCTATATGTTTCTCTCATGCATGGTGGCTTGTCTTCTTGTACATTTTGTGATTTTTTTTCATTATATATTTTAGAATTTTCTATAGGAATTATTTGAGGCCTGTATTGAAAGGACGTCCCTGCACAGATGATCTGTGCTTGCCTCTGCCAGGCACTCTTGGACAATATTCCCTCTGGGCCACTTCATGAGAACTTAAATAGTGTATTTTTAAACTTCGCTATTTTTATTGGATTGTCACAGTTTAAGTAAAATCTGTGTGCAAGCTAATCAGATGCAGCTTCAAGACAAGTCCAGGAGCAGTCCCCCCAACCAGACTACAATTTTATTATCTTACAGTTATGGAAATCAGAAACCCAAAATAGATTTCATTGAGCTAAAATTAAGGTGTCAGTAGGGCTGCATATTTTGAGGACGCTCAAGGGAAGAATCAATTTTCTTGCCTTTTCCAGCTTCTAGAGGATGCGCACATGCCTTGGCTGGTGGACCCAGTCATCTATCTTTAAAGCCAGCAATGTAGCATTTTCCAGCCTTTTCTCTGGCTCTGACCCATGTTTCCATCATCACATCTCCTTCTGTCACTTTCCTGCCTTCCTCTTTCCTTTATAAAGATGCATGTGATGGCATTTGGGGCCCACTCGGATAATCCAGGACAGTCTCCCCATCTCAAGATCCTTGACTTATTCACACCTGTGAAGTCCCTTTTGCCATGTAAGGTATCATCTTCACAGGGTCCTGGGATTAGGATGTGGCCATCTTTAGGGAGGCAGTATTCTGCCAACCATGCCTATTGAGAACATTGCCCTTCAATGTGGGGGCCCAGGTGTTGTCTCCTGGCTCCCATGGGTGGTGTCTGGAAAGCCATGGGAAGAGGGTGTCCAAGGAGGAGGGGTGGCCCTGGGCTCCTGGCTCTTGGGTGTAAATGCCCCCAGGGTAGTTGCTAGCCCCGGAGCTGGCTCACTCTTCTGGACTCAAGTATCCTCATGGTTTCTGACCTCGGAGGCTTTCTCTTACTTTCTTAGCAGCTCAGCCATTCATTCCAACATGTTTTTAGATTTCATCCTACGTTTTTTATGGGTTCTGTACTGGGAAGATTTCCCTAGACAGGCTCTTCTACATTGCTTACAAAGTACTGCACTTGTCCCCACCCACCCTCCAGTTTCCCTTCCACTTCCTGCCATGCCTCTGGGGTTGGGAATCCTGGCTTTAGAAAGACCACTCCAGCTATGGTGTGCGAAGGCACTGGAGATGTGCAGAGCTGAGGCAGGGAGGCCAGGGAGGAGCAAGCCTGTTCTGTCCTTTCAGGTGGCCCAGTGGCCTCTGCAGGCTCCCGTGCCTCCAGCCTGGGCCTCTTTGGTCCAAATTCCACACTTCGTCAGCCAGAAGGACACACGTTTGGATGTGCAAGTCTTCCCACGTCCCTCCCCAGCTCAGGTCCTTCTGTGGTTCCCATCACCTCATACTGAGGGTTGGGTCTGACTCTGCACCAAGTCTTGGGGTGCAGCTGCCAAACCCCATGGTCACTTCTGGGTCCTTGCTCCCCTGCTCTTTCAGCCACACCAGACACCTGGCATCATTTACTGCTTCATGAGGTCTGTGGTTTAGTGTCTTCCCTCCCCCACCAGGAAGTTGGCAGACTTTGGTTCACTGCTTCGTCCTAGTCCCTAGGCATGTGTGGCAGATAGAAGCTCAACAGGTTGTGAGTGAATGGGCAACTTGGCCAGAGTTTGGGCTGATAGGCAGTGCGGGTGCCAGATGGGAGATGATGACATGAAGGTGGGGTGGTGCTTGAGTCCCTCACCAGCCAAGCACATCCCCTCTCCTTCCCAAGCCTACCTCCCCGCCTTCCCCTGAACCCTCCGAGGTGCTCTGGAAGCAGCTTCCCTCAGTTTGGTATCTTACATAAACTGTTTATTCAGGAACAATTCAAGAAAGCAACCAAGGGGTGGGTTCCCAAGGGTGAGATGGTCACTGGGCCAGGTGCGTAAGCAGGCTAGGGTGCGTGTGTGAGTGCCGATGCCTACACGCACACTTGTATGCCTGCCACCCATGAGGGGTGTGTACTGCAATGAATGACCATGTGTGCACGTACACGCGTAGCTTGGCCCCATCCCCACCCCCCCAAACCGACCATGGCTGTGTGGGACCGGCAACGTCGAAATCCAGGCTTTCTTCTTCCCTTGCCCCACCCCCAGCTCTTGCTCCAAGACCCCATCTCCTCCGGTGGCAGTTTGACCACCCTCAGTCACAAAGAGACCCAGTGATCCCGTCAAGACATCTGGGGGAAGAGGAAAAAAAGCGTCTTTTCAAATGTCAAGTGGATAAACAGTCAGGGCGCCAGATGTGCGGCTGGGAACCCTCCCAACAGCTCCCAAGCCAGCACTCTCCCTAATGGCGCTGTCCAGCAAGGAGCCACCCAGAGAGGGGCTGTCCCCATGGACGCTGGGTGGCCACTGCACCTCCGAGTCCACCTCCCCTGGGAAGCCCTCAGCAGAGAGGCAGGGGGGTGACTGCACTGGTGGTAGTGGTGAACCCCTCCCCATAAGCAGCCATTTGGGGACAGGGATGGGACTGGGAGCAGGTCCCTGTGGCAAATGAGGTGGCTGGAGCAGGCATACACCCTTCCTGAAGAGGGAAACCACAGGGAGGCTCAGAGCCCAGCTGAGCTGGCAGAGCACGCAGGGCCTAGGCCTGGAAACAGGCAGCCACCTGGAATGGTCCCTCGGAATGGGAACCCCCCAAAAGAAAAAAGTAACAGTCGCAGAAGAGGCAGGTTCTGGAGCGTGATTCCGCCCCAAAGTGGTGCGGGTCAGGCCGGTGATTCCCGGCTGGCCCATAGGCACATTTAATAGGATTCCCGCAGATGTTTCAAGTGGGCAGGACAGGTCTCTCTCTCCCCACGGCCACCCTGGAGGGCCCCCCCGCCACTTCCCACAGCCCCCGCATGAGGTATTGCGCTTTCCCCCCCAACCCTCCCCTTGCTTACGGCTAAGCCCCCTCCCTCCCTTCCCCCCCAGCACATGGGTGGTGGGGAGCACCCATTGGGGGGTGGGGCAGGGCCCTATGTGGGGTCCAGCTCGAAGACACCATCACTGGTGGGGGTGGTGAAGAAGGAGGGCGGGTCAGAGGTGGTGGACTCCTGCCCCCCGCTGCTCCGCTCCCGGGCACGCCTCTCCTCCAGCCGCAGGCTGCGCTCGAAGTCCAGCAGCTGCCCCATGAAGTTGAAGTTGGGCGAGATGTTGGACTTCTTCCGCTTGACCAGGTCGTAGGCATCATTGAGTGAGAGGTGGAGCTTCTGCATGAGGTAGGCCACGGTGACGGTGACAGAGCGGCTGACGCCCGCCAGGCAGTGGACAAGCACCCCGCAGTTCTGGGACAAGGCCTCGTCTAGATAGAGGCAGAGTGAGGACCAGCATGAGATGCAGGCCAGTGTCCTTCTGGAAGGGCCCTTGCAGCACCTGCTCTGCACTCCGGGCCAGGTGGCCCTGGCCAGGTTCGCCTGGGAGCCCTGCCCGACCTGAGGAGTCCTGGCACTTTCACTGGTAGCCTCTTGTGTGCTGGCCCTAGCACTGCCCAACCCCAGAAAGGTGATCTTGGCTTTGGGCTTTGGGGATGGCAGCTAAGCCTGAGAGGAGACCTCATGAGGGAGAGGGGGAAGAAATGGGAGAGGCCAAGGAGCCAGGCTCGGGAGAAAAAGGGAGCAAGGGGAAGGCAGGGGGGACTCACCAATAAATGCAATGGCCTCTGGAAAGAACTGGGACAAGTTCTGGCTCCAGTGGTCTGAGATGGGGATCTGCTTGTAGTGAAAATCGCCATTCTTCTCAAAGAGGTTAGGGAGGTTGGGGGTGACATTGAGGATGTAGCGGATGCCCAGCTTGGCCAAGCTCTCCACATTGGCCGAATCCCGGGCACTGCCCAGGTAGAGGTTGGGCAGGATCTGGACTGGGAAGGAGGGCAGTAGCCCCGATGGGGGGGGTGTGGCACCCTCCGAATCCAGGCCACAGCTCATGGAGTCGCGGTCGGGCTCGGATTCAGCGTCGGAGAAGTCAGATCCCAGGCACAGGCTGCCCAGCCCCACCACTGGGCTGGGCACCATGGCTGTGCTTGGTCCACCACGGCTATTGAGGCTGGTCTCACACAGGTGAGGGCACTCGGCCTGGAATCTGCTGAAGCCACCTAGGAGACGACAGATGGAGGGTCCTGCTGATCTGGCCTCCTGGGCAGCCAAGCGCCCCTGGCTGGGGATAGGGAACCAACCCAAGATCACCCTGATGCCTGAGGGGGCTTGCAGATATTCCCAAAGGGAACTCAAAAGCCAGCAGCCTGATCTATACTGGTGTCACCTTGTGGTATGCCATGGGCAGCCCAGCCACCTTTGCCCAGTAGTTGGCTATTCTTCTGAACAGCAAGAGCTCGCTGCAGCTGCTGGGGGGGGTGCAAGACACTGGGCCCAGGAAAAAGCCACCCAAAGAGTATCTTACACCCTTAGGGCTGAGCCAATGCAGGCATGAGGGCTCAACAGAGTCTAGATATACTGCTAATCTTGGGGAGGACAGTGGCCATCAGTTAAAGAAGAGGAAAGGTTCAGATGTGAATTCTTTGTCGGGGTGTCTCCCTATCCAGGAGCACCCTGAGGGCAGGGGCCAGATCACAGCTATTTCTGTGCTTTCTTCAGGGATGAAGTGGGACCCAAGAGGCGGGGAGCCTGGGAGAGTGCAACATTCCACGGATGGTTCCAAAGTCCCAAGAAGCAAACACCTCCTAGGTCTACAGATAACTGCTATTTCCCTGAGCTGGGGTGGGGGCCCGGAAACCCAACACTTTGTATATTTCTATATTCCTGTGCATTCAGAATGTAGCAAAGGGCCACAGCCCAATGACCCCTGCGATGGGGAGGTGGGGACAGCTGACTTTGTAAGTTCATGGGCACACTGTCCCTATCCTAGACCTCTGGAGGGTGCATGTGTGTGTCTGGCTCAGCAAGGAACCAACAGACCCATATCAGCCTGTCTCCCCTCCATCCCCCAGCCCTGCTGAGACTACAGGGGTGGTGGTGTGCAGGTCTCTGTTTCCTCAGGCCTCCTTCTGCCTTCACTGCTTCTCTCTCTCTCTCTCTCTCTCTCTCTCTCTCTCTCTCTCCCCCCCCCTGCCCCCTTCCAGAGCCTTTGTAGAGTGGGATTTGTCCTCCTGTGTCCCCTGTCTCCTTTGCCCGTGGCTGAGCAGCTGGAGGAGGCGGTGATACCATTCCGGGGAGGCTGGACGCCCACACGTGGTACTCTATTATTGAGTCTCCAGTTTGCCAGTTCGGGTCAGCCTGATTATCCCCATTTTCCAGCTCAGAAACTGAGGCTCCCAAGGTCATGCTCACAGGAGGGTATCTCACCTCCACTTTAGACAAAATGAGGCAGGCCTTGTTCACAAAGGAGTTGTGAATCCCCTTGGAAGGTGGGACTCTGCCTCTTGGGCAGGGGTCCTCCCCAGGCCGGTGCCCACCGCACCACCTCCAGCACCTACCCTGCAGGTAGTAGGCCAGGTAGCCTTCCTCCCGAAGCTTCTGGAGCAGGGTGCCCAGCACCGACTCAGCCTCCCACTCCTCGGCCTCGGCCTCGGCCTCCCCGCGCCGGTGCCGGCCCCCGCCCTGGTCATACAGGAGCACCGGGGCGGGCGGAGGCGGCTGCAGCGGCGGTCCGGGTAGAAGCGCGCGCACCGACAGGCTCCCCCGCCGCAGGCGGCGCAGCAGCAGCGCGGGCAGTGCCACGCTCAGCGCCCCGCCAATGCGCGCCGACTCGTACAGCTCGCGGCTGCGGCAGTCCAGCAGCAGCAGCTGCGGCCGCGGGGCTGACAGCTCCCGGCGCAGCCATAGGCACGAGCGGCCCAGACCCTCCATAGGCTCGCGGCTCCTGGCACGTCGGGCCGCTGGTGCTGCAGAGAGAAGGAAGGCGCGCGGCGTGAGCTCACTTTCTCCGACCCCAGCTGCCACGGGGCGCGGACCCAGGGGTCAAGATGTGAAGCCAACCCGTGTCCTGAAGGCAGGCGCCCAGAGTCCCGCAAGGACACCCTTCCAGCCGATTCTCGCTCGTCTCGCACCCCTCCCACAGCGAGGACACGCAGAAGGTGCCCCAAGAAAAACATCCGAGGCAGCCACCCGGGAGCGCAGCCACTGCTCCCCGCCCCGGTAAAGGCAGTGTGAGAGGTCGCCCAGAACAAGAAGGATGGGCGTCCAAAGGCCCCTTGGAGAGCCATAGGTCCCTCTCCAGCCCCTACCGAAGCATCCCAAGGCCACGGCCACCTTCCTTCCTTCACACCCCCTTTCTGCGTCTCTCGCTTAGCCTCCCCACAATCACTCCACAAGTTCGAGCTTTCGAATTTGGGGGTGTGTGCGTGTGTGAGGGATTCAAGGCCGAGATCTCCCTCACGGCCAGTGGGCCTGGGGAACAGAGTTGGCGCCGAGGTAATGGGCCTTGGCTGGCCCTCTGGGAGCTGATCTGGCTCTGGTGCCCCCCACCCCCGGGGAAGAGAAAACAAAAGGAGAGAGACCTGGAGCGTGATCTGGCGGACAGCTGCTCGCGGATGTCCCGGCCAGGGCCACTGCGGGAAGCGGGGCGCGATCCCCGGGTAGGGTGTCCCGGGGCGGGCCCCTGGGAAGAGGGCCGTGCGGCAGAGAAGGCGCGCACGTGGAAGCCGAGTCCTGCGCTGCTGCGCGCCTGCAGCGAGCAAGCTTCCACCTCAGAAGCGGCTGCCTTTGGACGTGGAGTTACCATTTAGAGGGCGGGGCGGCGGGGGCGGGGTCAGGGGTCCAGCGAGCCAACGGGTGTCAGCGAAAGCAGTCGGGTGGGCCCCCTGCAAGTGGCGCGCTGAGCTGGGGCTTCCACCCAAGCGGGACAGGGCCGGGGCAGAGGCCAAGGGCAGGTCAGGGGCCCAGCAGGGGACCAGCCACAGCTCCCCTGGCCGGCGCCAGTCAGGCCCCTGGAGGCAGGGGGAGGGGTGAGGACAAGAGCCCAGTGCCCCTGCCCCAGAGCCTGCCTCAAGCTCTACTCATTCAGTGACCCTGGACCATCATGTCCCTTACTGGACTTCAGTGGCTCCATCTATATGGCAGGCTCATCATAGCCACCACCTTGGGCCTCTGTGGGATGCCACTGAAATCGTGGAGTGGAGGAAGAAGCAGGACCAGAGAGCCACTGCTGCCTTCTAGCCCAGAACTCTGTTGAAGGCTGGCTGGAGGGCTAGGCAGGCAGAGGGCAGCCTCTGGGCACGCCCACTGACTTCATTTGCGCAGGCCTCGCCAAAGGCACCCAGGAGCTCTGAGCTCCCAGCTCTAAACTCAGGGCTCTGCTTTTATTACAATACTGATCCTGGGACTCACCTCAGCTTCTCCCTCTGCCTCCTGCCTAGTCAAGAGCCAAGCAGTTTCTACTCAAGTTTCTCTCACATCTGTGCTCTCCTCTCTGCCCCTGCACTGGCCAAGGGCTTGCTCGCATTTGCCAGCTCTTGACCAGGTCACCATCACAGCCTCCAAAGCCCTCTCCAGGTCTATCCCCCTCAGCCACCCTCTGTCTTGCTCTGCACCAGAACATTCGTTCAGCAAAGGCCACTGGTCTCCATACCTTCCATAGACACAGGATGATGAACGGGCAGGACACGCAGGGTCTCTGCTTGCACAGAGCTCCCAGACTAGCAGGACAGGTCCCTAATAAACAGCTGACCGAACAAGATAATATCAGGTGAGGTAAGTCCCAAGATAATGAAACGAGGTGGGGGAGGTTTCTGATACGTTTGGTTCTATGTCCCTTCTCTGCTTAAAACCCATCTAAAAGCAAATAGTAGAGCTGAAGGAAAACATACAGCAGATAAGATAAAGCACATACAAATTAATCAAAAAGTTAAGACTCCGATAGATAAATGGGCAAGGAACCAGAAAAGACTGCATGGAGAAGGAAACCCAACCGGTACAAGACGTTTGGGGAAAGGTTCAATCTCAGGCATGGAAGGAAAGCAAATTCAAAAAACAAGCTAACAACAACAGAAAACAAGGCAATACTTTCCCACCTATTACATTAGTAAAGATGTTCTCAAAATGAGAACACCCGGTACTGGCAAGGGTGCTGTGAAATCTGCCCACTGCTCCACTGCTGGTTGCTGGAGGGTTCTCTATGGGCCCTTTTGGAAATTAATTTGGTAATATGCATCCAGAGCTAAAAAGAAATTCACAACCTCTGGCCACTTCTGGGAATCTACCCCAAGGAACTAAGTAAAAGAAGGCAGAGCAATGTACAGAGGACAAGCACCAAGATGTGTAACTAAGGAGTGAAGTGCTCGAAACCACTGGAAGGCCTAAGTTTAGGATAGTTAAGCCCAGCGTGGCTGCTGACGACTCCTCTCCTGAACCAGAGTAAGATGAGGAGGTGATGCTGGGGAGTGCCAGGCTACCTCAAAGGGGCCTCCAGTAGCCCCCTCACTCCCTCCCTGACCCAGCAGGTCACCAGCCTGGGTTTCATCTCTGGCCATAGTCCACCATGCCCTGGTCTCTGGGATGAGTCCCATCACCAGCATCCAGGGGCCTGAGGCAGCCCAGGCCTCCCTCTTCTGCAGCCTGTCCAGATTCTGCTCCTTCGGGCGCCCTCAAGGTGCCCTCCTCCAGGCAGCCTACCTCTCCTGGGCCAGCTTGTGGTCTCCCTCCTCTGCGCTCCAAGCCTCAGTTCTCTGAGGCTGCAAATGCCCAAGGGCTGCAGTTTGGGAGAGTGGGGCCCACTTCCCTGTCTTACCCCTCTGGGGCAGAGACTCTGTCTTCTAGTGTCTCCTATGCCTTCATCCTCGCTCCCAGAGGCAGAGGTGGGCAGCTGCCTGGCCATGGGCCCCAAGCCTGGGGATTCCCTCCAAGCCTGCTGCAGCTGTGAGTGGGACCCTGGGGTGGCCAGGGGTTGAAGGCACCAAAGTGTTCTGCAATGTGCCAGCCTGGGGTGCCTGGCTTGGCCAGGTTGTAGGCACTGAGGGTGGCAAGGTCCATCTGATAAGGAGGTGGAGAGACACATGCCACCACCCTCCGTGTCATGGGGGCTCAGTATAGTTGGAGAAAGGGTCACCAACCCCAAGGGAGGTAGGAGCTCCAGAGGGGCCCAGGCATGCTTTCTGGAGAGGGCTTCCTGGAGGAGGTGATAGGGAAAATGAGGATGTAGAGGGAGGCAACTTCTGCAATGGTGAAGGGAGAGGAAGCTAGGCTCCAAGAAACCCCGCGGGATGGGGTTGTGGCGGCAGCGCCTCCCGACGCCTGCAAAGTGGCTCCCCTGCACCTTTCTCCCAACCCTGCTGGCAAGCCCTCCAACCGGGAAAGCGAGTGTTCTGTGCCCAGCGCCAGCAGCGCCCGCTGCGCTAGCAGCAGTACAAACTGGAACCTGTTGCCACCTCCGCACTGCAGGGCTGAGCGCAGCCAAGCCCCCCTCCCCCGACCCTCGCCAGGCCCGCCCCTCACTCGGGCCTCGGTAGCGCCAGCTCCGGGCGCCGGCCCCTCCCCGCACCCGCTCCCCGGGCGGGCTGGGGAGGGGAGGCGGGCTGCGCGCTGGGGCCTCACCAGGCTCCCTCCGGCGGGCGGAGCCAGGCCGCGCGCTCGCCGCAGGGTGGGCGCTGCGCCCGCAGCCCCAGCCCACGCCGGGCACCCCTGGCCTCCGCTGGGCCAGGCCACTGCCCCTTGGAGGCCGCGGGGACGTTGCCACCGGTAGGCCCGGTGCGCGCCGCGTGCACCCTCTGGTCCCCAGAGCCTTCGGAGAGCGGCGCCCCGCCTCTCCCTTCATCCCCCCATTCCAAAATGCACGGTTCCCGCCGGGCCGAGTGGCAGGATTTCGGCTGTCGCGGCCAGGTCACATGGTTGGGAGCACAACTCCCAGCGACAGCGTTCCTGCCAAATCCAGTGTCTTTTCCACCAAATCCACTTTCTGCTGGGGATGGCTTTCTGCTTTTCCTGGTCGGTCTCCTCGCGGGACTGGGAGTTCCTCCAAGGCAGGAGCGGGTGTGTGCCCGGCCCCAAGCTGGCCTCAGCCCCCAGTGCAGGGCCTGGCACCAGCAGGGCGCTCACGGAAGAAATGCTCGTTAACAAAGAAAGCATGAATGAATGAAACCAATTGTTGCATGAGGGAGCCCAGGAGGGTGCTGCTCCTGCTTTTTCTCTCAGCGGGTCACACACTGCCCCCAGACATGCAAACGCACACGTGCACACACAGCCCTCCCAACACACACGCAGACAGGCACACACACTGGGTGAATTCCTGTCCTCGTGGCACGGACCTACTATGTGCTGCGGCCTCCATTTCAGTGCCTGCCTCTCTCTTCCTCCTCGCCCCCACTCCCGGCGCCCCGACATCTAAGTACGGTACCTTGTGCCCCAAGTGCCTTCTTTATCTTAGGGAAGAGGCCAAGCCAGTCGCTGGGGAGACTCAAGGTCTGTTTAGGGAGGCACCTGGGGCCCCTCAGGATGGCAAGCTGCTGCCCAAGGCGAGCCAGAGGCACCTGGCAGGGATGTCACCAAATGCTGCAGCCTCTAGAGCCCGCGTGCCAGGTGTTGGGGGTGGTGGTGGGAGGGACTCGGGGATGTGCTGGGTGCTGTTGAGGGCTATTTGCGATGGGGGCGGGGCTGGGTGCTGGAGAGAGGATCCAGCAGGTGTGCATACATGTTGGGGTGCCTGAGAGTGCGTGCTGGGGAGTGGGGTAGTGTTGGGGCTTCGCTTGGGGGTGGGTGGATTGCAGTGTCTCTGGGCTGGGAACGTGGGTGGGGTGTCTGTAATGAGCATATGGGGAGTCGGAGATGGTGGGGGCACCATGAGGGGAGCTATGTTAATGCAGAGTGTGCAGGGATGTGTTGGGAGTATGTGTGTACTGGGGTGTGTACTGAGGCGTGGCAGGGTCTCTGATGGGTGCTGGCCTGAGTTGGAGACAGTGGTGGGTTTGGGGCTACTGGTATTTGCACTGCAGGGACCTGGGTCCACGGTGCATGGTTTGTGTGCGGGAGTGTAAGTCGCAGGGGGTGTGCGTGGTGGACGACACCGGAGGTGCACGGTCGGGATGTAGGGGGTGTGCGGTGGCAGGACCGAGCGTGTCTCACAGGGGTGCGTGCGTCGGCCCCTTGGGGTGTGCGTTGGCAAGACTTTGGGGGTGCAGGGTGGAGGAGCGCACGTCGGAGGGCGGCC